TTTTTTTTTTTTTTTTTTTTTTGCTTCTATTGCATTTATTTTGTGTTTTTTAAATGTATTTTATGTCTTTATTCATGTTCAGTGTCAGTTATCATTTATTAATGTATTCAGTTACTGTTGTTAGAGTTTCCCCATGTCAATAAAAAATAAATAAATAAATAAATGTTCCTAACTGACACAGCTTGCTTTAAAGGTAATCCCTAATAGAGGCTACAAGATATTATAAGACCAGGCAGATAGAAGAGTAAAAACAATATTAATAAATACTATACTATATATATATATATATAAAACCCTAATCTGACACTATTTAGGACCATTTTCTTAAGAGTGTATTAAAGTTGTTGACTCATAACGGAATCATAACTATCTATGTTCCATACACTGACTAGCCAATCAAAAACAGCCCGTGTGCGAGTCATTTTAATCGTTTGCATTTGCTGAAATGTCTGAATTTGTAAAGGGGTGGTCTAATTCAGTGGCTAAATCTAGCAGAAAGTTAATATTTAAAAGCTATACCTGCTAAATTTGTCATCATTTACTCACCCTGTCGCTTTAGACACATGACATTTTTGGTAGTGGAATTCCGCTTTCCACACGGAACTGCCTTCTGGTTTTGAAGGTTTCAAACTTACAAAAGGACTCAAAAGTAATAAAAGTAATCCTTATGACTGTATGTGCTATATTCCAAGTCTTCTGAAGCAATACGATAACTTTGTGGGACCAACAGACCAAAAAGTAAGCCATTTACTGACCTCCAGTCTAGTTTGTTGTTTACCTCTGCGAACGAATCTTCAAGATAAACCCGAGACCCGGATCGGTCCGATTTTTTATTTTTATTTTAAAATGGATATGGAATGATCGGAAGATACCCTAGTTTCCCAAAAGAATCGCATCCCCAAGAGGATCGTAGAAAACATTGGCACCATTTTGTTTCTACAATCAACGTAAGTTTACCATTCTTTTCTGAGAACTCGAGTCTAGTTTTGTGAAGTTTCCCCCGATTCATTGAAAAGATTCAAAAGAATGATTCGATTACCGATCGCTACTTCTCTCACGAACACTGATGAATTATGTGATTTATAATTTATACATGCATAAAAAACACATATACAACTCACAACAAATGCAGATCAAAAAGATATATAAAATAACAAATTAAGACTACAAATTAAAGAAAAGAATGCTTAATGAGAAAGTACGTAGGCTGTTGCTTTCACACCAAAAATGATGTTTCACTTTTGAAAATTTCACTTCCTAAACAATGATGTTATGAAGGAAATGACTTTAGGTAGTTAAAGGGAAATTGTAAAAGAAATGATGGATGAAATGGAGACATAGGGAAAAATAAATAGCCTAAACTGATTTTAACAGAAATAAAGACATGATAATCAAAGATATTGTTGATGTGATGTTTTAATGCAGTTCTGAATGTTCATGGCCTTCTGATTCACGAGATATGGAACTAGACAGCAGAATGAGAAAAAAAGGTTTCTACATATTGGAAATCCCCCAATGTCAACAGTGTAATTTGCCAATTTTCCTAATTTGTTGCTTTTATATTACATTAATAATTTCCATCTAAATACATTAAAATGTGCTCGCTTTAATAAATGAGAAATAACATTTGTGAAAGCATTCTGTCATTGTAGATGTACTGGTAGCTGCTTTGAAAGATCTTAGATCTTACAGTATGTTGAGTCACGTCACCATCTTTGATTCTTCATGTCAAATATGTGCCGGAAAACATGCGCAGTAACCAAATCCTGTTTTTACATGAGGAAACATTTGACCATTAAACTTGTTTCTGAGGGAAATTTGTCTAATCGTGTTGTCCTGCAGTTTAAAGGTTACACGATAATTCTTTGCATCTTCTGATTTGCCTCTCGGGCCTTTTTAAAATGGCCAGTGTTTCAATGGCACCTTTATTTACAGCATCCCCTAAAGTATTGCTAACTCTGTTTAAGTTAACAAAGAAAACTAAAGAAGTATCTTAAGATTATGAAAGATAGATAGATAGATTGTTAAAGTCAGAGCAAACAAGACAAAAGAAAAAGTTGCTCCAGAAAATAGTTGTTTTAATAAACTTTAAAGATAAATATTTAGAATGGATTAGAACATTAGTGAAATACAGTCATTTAAAATCATATCCACTTTTTTATATGAACAGACATGCTGGGGCGCCCTCTGTACATACATAATGTGATGGATCCTCATTTCCACTGACACTGACATTCATACAGACAGGAAACCACAAAGTTTTTTGTAACATTCAATAAATGGTTCAAATCAGGCTCAAACGGAACATATGTAATATTTTAAAGTGACTAAAATTGACAATCCAATCCAATCCCATCCTACATTTTTTTTTTTCATGAAGAGATTTTTTCATTTGGATATATATGAAAGCTTATTTCCACCATTAATTAAAAAATAAAAAAGGTAATTGTGACTTTTTATCTCACAATTCAGATTTTTTCATCGCAATTCTGAGAAAAAAATAGCAAAATATCAACTCAGATTTCTGACATTTTTTCTCACAATGGTAATTGCAATATATCTCACAATTCTCATTGATTCTCATGATTCTGACTTTTTTAATCAACCCTTCCCCGAGAGTTTGATTGACAGGCGATCTGACCAATCATAACACCGAATCTGCCATTTTATCCGACAAACTAACCAGACAGTCACGGGAGAGTACATAGATTAACGTCGGTAGATTTGAACTTGAAAAATGGTGTGTATTGACGTCTTTCTGTGGTTGAAACAAAATTCCTTCTGATGTTCATTCATGTTTATTTCGTGAACTAAATAGTAGAAGAGATGATCAGTTCACGTGCCGCTTGAACTGAGGCGCGACAGCAATCTGTTATGACACATTAAAGGGCCACAAAACGATGTTTATAGTTAGAATTTCTTTTAAAAAAATTGAATTTCTTTTTGTCAGTGTCCTCTTTGCTCCGCAATATATTTTTCACTGCGTGAGAACATGATGTGTGGCATAAGCACGCCATAGCTTGTCGGACGTAGCAACAGTAGGCATGAAAATGTTCGTACATTTTGAGTAGTTGAGGATGGAAATGCAGAGTGATGATCAATGAAAATTACAATATGAAAGATACACAGTTCATTTCCACTTCCTTCACACATTTGTAAGGCAAATCACAGTTTGTTTTTGTCCTGTGATACAGTATATAAGCCTACCTTTCTCAAAGGTGGGGTGTGCAATGCAGGAGAAAAGGGGAGGAGCCAAAACTTTAATTGGTCAGGGCTGCTTTTCATTGGTCGGTTATGTAGAAAATCATTGGAGAGGTGTGGCATCAAATCATTGTTAATAAATAAATGCGGACTTGAAAACTGCATTTCTGCTGATGTTCCAACACTGGACACATTGGCAATATGGCAATGAAGGCTACAGTGACTGCGTTTCTGTTTTTGTGTTTCTTTATTGTGAACACAAGCCTCTACAGACTACACATTTATGTGAATGATAACATGACGTGGACGGATGCACAACTGTACTGCAGAAAGTACCATGATGACCTCTCCACCGCCAGCAATATAGAAGTGAAACTACTCTCTGCGAATCCAAAGATCACTTCTGAATATTTCTGGATTGGACTTCAGAGAGATTCCCAAAGCCCACTGCTGTGGAAATGGAGCGGAGGTGAGAATGCATCTAATGTCATGTGGGACGCTGGACAACCTGATGCTTTGCATGAACAATGTGCTGCTGTCCTAATATCAAATGTTAAAATGCATGATGCCACTTGCTTTTTATCTATACCGTTTTATTGTATGGAGGTCTTTGAGCTGATCCTGGTGCAGAAGGAAAACACATGGATTGAGGCCCTGGAATACTGCAGACAAAACCACGTTGATCTGGCCAGCCTAACCTCCGATCTGATGATGAGAGAGGCGAAGAATAAGAGCACGCCAGCCCAAGCGGATGATGTGTGGATTGGTCTACGGTTCATAGCAGGTCATTGGTTTTGGGTAAATGGCAATAATGTTGAATATAAGGGCTGGTCGTTGGAGGGAGAGCCACAGTGCCCTACTGTGGATCAGCGCTGTGGAGTGTTTGCTAAAAAAAAGATTGTTTGGAAACCTGACAACTGTGAGCGAAGACTTAACTTTCTGTGTCTCAAGAAAAATAGAGTGACAGCTGAAGGAAGCAGTAACTGAATCAATTTGGCATGTGTAACGATAATGTCATGCCTCACTAAAGAAACACTATTTAAATCAATTAAAATTATTTTTGCTGTTACTATTACTTTTATCAATTTGACGGAACTGGTGCTATTGGATGAGAACAAAAAAAAGCTTGATATTGAATTGACTTGAGCTGAATAACAACACTATTGTCTTATGTAGAGTTGCTTAGCTGAATTGAACTTGTTTCATAATTGATGAGCTTTACTATTATTTTCCTGCTTATTACTTTGATGCTTCTTTGAAACAATCTGTATTGTATAAAGTGCTATAGAAATAAAGGTGACTAGACTAGATGTGGATGTCAACTATGTACTCAGTAGGCAAAACATGTAGTGCATTTACTGCTGTTGTGACAATCTTGTGAAAAATAAAATGAAATCTTAACCAAATAATATTTGCAGTGATAAGAAGCATCACGTTTGATTATTATTTGATTCCAGTGTTGTTGATAGATTACATACACACATTCAGACATGCTACACTGTAACTTTTCTGCATGAATTACAAGTATTTTGTCTCGAAAAAAGAAGACTGTAATCTTACTGTCTATATACAGTAATTTTACTCTTTTGAGTTTTCGTCTTAATTACTGTAAATGGGATTACCTTACAAGATGCTCAAATAATATAGAAAATATCAGGAAATAATTCATAAAAAATACCATTTTTATTCTTTTTAATTTTCAAAGTCAAAATATATTCTTTTTATATTCTTACAATTCTTTTTAAATTTGACAAAATAAAATAAAACCTGACAATTTAATTATAAAAGATTAGAATTGTAGGCACTGTTTTGACAGTTGTATTTATTTTACAGATAGTAGGATTGTGTATCATCACCACTGTCTGCAAATCTATTGATGTAAGACTGAAAAAAGACAATTTTGCAATAAAGAAGACCATGTCATTTCACTGTCTAAATACAGTACTCTCATTATTTTTCATATTACTTACTGTAAGTGTGCTTGAATTACAAGCTGATTAAATAGCAAAGAAAATCATAAAAAACAATTAATAAAAAATACAAATTTAATTCTTGTTAATTTTGACAAAAAATGCTTATCATCACTACTATCTGGAAATCTATTGATGTAAGAACCGAAAACAGATTATTTTATGGAAAGGAAATGAGACCATTTCATGATGACAGTATTCGATATTGAAAGAAAAAAGAAAAGAAAAACACAGTGTAAGCATAACTAGAGGAACAATCACAATTTTTGGACAGTAATTAATATATATCATTTAATTAATTTAATTTACTCTTATAATAAATTTAAAGTAAATTCTGACCATCAGTGGTATATAATTTTTGTTTCATATATAGTTGTTTTCTCAAATGCCACATGTAGCAGAAAAAAACTATTATTGCCATAGAGCAAAACAATATGAGAGCTTATTCTTAAACAAATGGAAAAAAAAGTCCTTCACATATATACAATGAAACACAGCTCTGTTTCCATCTGTCACACCTGTGGTCAAAGTCAGATGCGCTTTTTGTCAGACCACTCATGTACTCTTTAAAACAGGAAATGACTCGGACTCTGTGGGGTTGGTGGCATGTTGCTATAGAAGCTAGAGCAGGAAGTTAGCCTCGAAAAATAGTGACACGCAGCTGCGGTATACATGTTAGAAGCTTAAAATGTAGTTTTAAGGCGAACAGAAAAATACATTAATAAAAAAAAAAAAAAAAAAAAAATTTAAATGATTAAACCAGCAGAATGATCATACAAAAATACATGTTCCTTTGGCATTCTGTTTGATTATTTAATTATCTCTATTTGGAGTCCGTCTGCCAAACAAACAGCAAACAAAAAGCCTGATGTTAGTGATTAACAAAAGTTATTACAGTATAAACAAAACATATTCTTCTTGTAATTGTTTGACAGCTTATTTACAGTAGGTAGATGCTTAAGATGACAGTGGTATTAAGTCCAGAAACTTGCTTCTCTCCTTTTGCTTCGAGTCTTATTTATTTCCTTTTTTCATTTTGATGGTCTCATATGTGTCCTGATCATGAGGCTTGAGACCCTGAGGTGTGGAGGAGAGAGAAGGACAAAACGGATGTGGCAGAGAGTCAGCGCCATTTCAATTGAAGCTCACCAGATCAGCCACAAGGCTTCAGAAATTTTATGTACATCAGTTAAATGCTATGAAATTGCTGCATGTTATCACTACAGTACTTACTATATAACAGCATCTTATACTGCATCTAAATATTCTTTTGCATTCGAAGAGTTGCATAATAATATGAATATGAATAATATGTAGTAATATAAATGAATAATATATATGTGTGTGTTATATATATATTATATATGATTAAATGATGTTAGTGTGTCTGTTAACCAGTTTTTGTGTATCTTTCAATGATCATACAGTGGAACGCAATAAAGTTCAAATAAAGAATATGAACATACACACAAGAAAGGTCTAAACTATAGCTAAGCAGAGTATTAAACAACCACAACACAACAAAAATACCTCATAAAGCCCTTCACCGGCATCTTTCTTCTGTAAACAATCAGAAAAATAAACACATTAGAAAGCCTGTACAATACAAACACTCACAAAAAAAGAAACGTGTACGCGCAGGGCTTCAGAGGTTTTTGAAAGAAGAGTGTCATGTGTCACATATGGCCAAATTACATTCAAACAGTATTCTTTTATCATATTACTCTCTTAAAAATAAAGGTGTTTAGTTCGCATCTGTGGTTCTGTGAAGAGCCTTTAACATCCATGGAACCTTTCCACTGGACAAAAAGTTATTTGTAGTAAAAAAAAAAAGTTCTTGAGATTTCAGAAAATTTCTTCACACTAACAAAATAAATTGTTCTTTTAAGAAACTGCTGACTGAAAGGTTTTTTTTTTTGGGAACCGAAAATTGTTCTTCTATGGCATCCTGCAAAAACCCTCTTTTGGAAGCTTTATTTTTAAGAGTGTATATATAGCGTAATGTGTCAATTATGAAAAACATTAAAAGGCCACATACAGGCAGAGTACATACATTGTGTGAAAGGGTTCGTGCTGAAAAGCAGACACACATATAATCATTTTTTAAAAAGGCATCACACAGTTCAAGACAGGATGTAAAAGTGTGAAAGGGGAGGAGAGGGACGGTTAGCAAAAGCAGATCATTTTGGAAATAAGATTGAGTCTTATGAAATTTGTGAAATTTATGTTGCTCACATTTGGGTTACTTTAAGGATAGTAATAGTTAACACACATAAATGTAATTTGCTGGTCTCAGAATGCACTGGCCATCAGCTGGTTTTTGTACGTCGCACATTGTTTCTAGCAGTTTTATCATTTTTTTTTATTTTTTTATTTTATAAGGGTTTTCTGAAAAAGATATAATATGCAAAACTAGATAGATAGACAGATAGATAGATAGACAGATAGA